TTAGAGAAGTGTTCTATTTGACAAAATCAATTCATCAAGTTACTTTTATTATGAGGAAGGCTGTCTTGATATAGATATCTCCAGATCAAATATGCAGACCATCTAAAAATACATTTATTGATTCTTTCTAATAAAATATAAGCTTTCTCCTCTTTCTTATGTCTAATGTTAAGTAAAGCTTGCACCTGCTCACCATAATAACAGAGAAAGGAGACATTAGAAAGTCAGAATGGTGTGGTTTGTTTAAAAGCTAGAAAGCAGAGTTGAAATTCTCCATAGAGGGTTTCAACTCCAGCCACATATTAGACACAGCTGGGGATTAAAAAAATAATAATAATAGTGCCCAGTCCCACCCCAGATAAAGTGAGTCAGAATCTCCAGTATGACATGGATTTTTTTTTTAAATCCCCAGATGATTCTATTAGTTATGTGAATTTGGGCATGTAATTCAATATCCATAGTATATAAACTGGAATGTAGTAGACATTGGCCACAATCATGACGTGACAATCTACTTAAAAAACAAAACTAACAGTTTATTAGTTGGAATCAGACTTGAAAAAAAGATTTATACATCGCAATTGGTTGACAGTTCCTTTATAACGCTTTCAACTTATAGGTTCACCTCTCTCTGCCTTTTCTTTTTGCTTTGCAATTTACTTGTTGAAACAACTGGATCATTTGTCCCATAGTTTTCATGATCTAGAATTTGCTCATTGCATCTCCATGACATCATTTAACATGATCCTCTTTCCCACTATTATTTCTTGTAAATTGACTGACAGATCAAAAGGCTTGGTCAAATTCACATTCGATTGGCAAGACTGGGCAATGATCTACCCCTCTCTCAGAAGCACTTTATGTCTGTTTGTCTCTGTTTTTATAAGGTGAATAGTTATTGATAATTGTCACCTAGATTCATTATTATATCAGTAGCTGCAAAACAATGATGTTCTATTGTTCTGTTTTTATTAGTTAGAATTCTATAAAGACATTTTTCTCATCAGAGTTTAGTTTCCCTGAGAATAATCATGAAAAAAAATGTTGGTTTCTTTATGTGTTTTCTTTATAATTTTTCAAAATAATGAATTGGATCTCTAGTATCCTCCAAAGATGACCAATGAGGGTTATTTTTATTTTGTTCTTGTTTTTTTAGTATCATTATGAACTCATAGATTTAAACATATTCAACATGTTTCAATTCATTGCAATTATTCTTATTGACCCTCAAATTGTAATGACTATTATTGACCCTCAAGTGATCTGACCCTACCCTTTGACTCCCCTCATTACTCTTAGATACTTTCTTTCCTTTCTACCACAAGGTGGTCCAGACTGATCTCCTGCCCACGTCTGGATTCACCCAATCTCCAAAGAGCCCTCATTTATTTTTGTGGGAAATAGTATTTGAAACCAGAATCTGGGTGCTGGGGTGCTCATTGCCATTCAATTGTCCTTGTTTCTAGTCCTTTTAAGTAAACAGAACTAGGTAGGAAATACTTTTCATTTTCCTTAAGATAAAAGCATCATAAGTTCATATTGATATTAGAATTCAAATTCAGGACCAGAAAGTTTTGATTTAATGTCATCTGCCTTACAACTGCTTCTGTTTTAGGCAACAACAAAAACCCAAGTTCCCAGCAACACCACATGATTGAGTCTTTGCTTTATTCCACAGTACATATGCAGCACCATACCAACACTGACACTGCCAAGATGCTAACCAAACCAACAAACAAAAAGAACCAAAAACAGTTTTTCATGAATTTAGTCCTTAAAGCATACCTTACTAAGAGTATACAATTAAATGACTGTGCTATAAAGTCACTTAAAAGAGGTCCACACTGGGTGATGATGTCATCAATTTGATGTGCAATATGCTTTGTTCTGCTTTCAGTTTTTTACAGATTTCTTTTTTAATTTGATATTCTATAATTATGTGAAGGTCAAACCTTATTTTAATTATACCACCCATTGGCATTGGATAAATGTTAAATTTTTTTTAAATGTTTTATTACAAGCAAGAAGTGTACCTAAACACTGAAAATAGATACGTGAATTATCTTAGAGGGCTAGTCTTTTAAAAAGTAGTAGAATAGTCATTCAATTATCTGAATATGGAAAGTAATACAGATAATTAGTGCATTAACAATCCACTTATACTGAAATTTATTTTGTATTTTGTTATGTTGATTTGGCAAAAGTTTCTTTTCCTTATGTTTACTTCTGCTGCCAGAGTAAACTCATTAAGTATTCTGGGATAGGGAAGGTGTAACACAGTAACAACATTCCCCACTACACTTTGATATTTCTGACTCAATGATGAATTACCTTGTAGGATTTTTCTATTTCTCTCAGACTAATACACACTTTGTTTATTCATTCTTCAATGTGGAAAATATTTAGTATTTTCACAAATCTTTTAGAAATATTCAATATATACTACTAATATACTACTAATTTTCTTTCTTTTTTTTTTTTTTTGAAGATACAAGAATGTAGCAAGTTAGTGGTGCAAAGTTATGCACCTTGTTTATATACCAAAATTTCATAAATTACGTAACTAGCTTTCTGGTACTGCAAATAAAGATCATTAATTCCATTAACGGCTGATTTCCCTGAGCTGTAATTATTTGACCCCTATCTAACATAGGGGTCTGTGAATAATCTTTAAATGTATAATTCTACTGCTAGTGTTGAGCTGCAGATTAACAGTAGAAAAACCAGTTTTTCGAATTCACCACTATAACACAATTAAAATCCTCATGAATTATGCTACACATTAGAAACTCCTAATGGATTGTGAACTCTTTGCTATTCAATTTGATTGTTCAAATGTATAGATTTCTGAGCCAAACTAAGGTAAATTTCAGTTCCCATCATATATAAATTCTCTTAGACTAGCAAATGAGTTAATAAACGAGTTACCGCTGGCAGCCATGTCAATAGATTGCTATTTAGAGATCCAGTCTACTGCAGCCACCGAAGCCCGGCCCTGGGGCCGCTCTACCAGTAGCTCCCCAACACTTCGAGTGGAAATTTGCCATCACTTCTCCACCTGTCTCACACCCCGCCCTCAGCCCCGCCCCTTTCACTGGCCCCACCTCCTGCGCTTTGGCCCGTGCTCTCCACGCCCCTTCCGTTCAGCCAATCGCCGCTGAAGTTTGCAGCAGTGGAACTTCCGTTTCCACCAATGCGGGAGGTTCTTGTTCTGCAGGTCTCGCCTCTGCCGGGAGCTACGGCGCTACGGCCGGAAGATGGCGGCGGCCGCAGAGTTGTCGCTGCTGGAGAAGTCCCTGGGACTGAGTAAGGGGAACAAATACAGTGCTCAGGGCGAGCGACAGGTGAGAAGGAGAGGCGGCGCAGAGGGGAAGAGGTGGACGGGAGCGGGGCCTGCCGAGCCCTGGCAGTACCCGGGCCGGCCACCCAATACCGGCGGAGTGAGGATGCTGCTACCCAGCTCCCCACGTGTCTGCGCCGCGAGCAGGCTGGCACCTCTGGGCCTCGGCCCCTGCCGCCCTACCTTCCGGAGGGAGGGGGTAACTAGCTCAGGTCGGGCTCGGCCTGAACTTCACCTCCTGGGAAATCATCCCATTATGAAGAAACGAAACCAGTTGCAGGAGGGTCCTCACAGGGCTCTTAGACCAACCTGGAAGCCCCGCGTTTGTATTCAGTATTAACTGGCTTTTTTTTTTTTTTAACCGTAATCGCACCTTTCATTCAGTTATTACGCAGCGATTCCGTGATAGCTAACAGGGTACCAGGTAGCACTGTGCTGGGCCTGGGGAGTTCAGTGCTGATTTAGGGGAACACGCTTCCTCCCCTCAGGAAGCTTGCGTTTTGGCCGGTTGGACAAACACTGCAACCATTTAAATTGAAGGAGTGCCACGTTGCACCATAAATGGCAAAGAGAACACCTAAGGAGTCTTGGCCCAATCTAGGCGATTCGGGGAAGGCGTTTCTAAAGCCTTGGGGTATCAATTTAAGTGTGCGACCCACAGAGAATGAGGGAAACATAACAAGGTATGAGATTGCCTGGTGAGGCACTGTTAGAACGTTTGTGTTTTACAGTTGTTTGTCGTAGAGGGAATGTATTAGAGGAGGAGATTACATCACAAGGTATGAGATTGCCTGGTGAGGCACTGTTAAAACGTTTGTGTTTTACAGTTGTTTGTCGTAGAGGGAATGTATTGGAATGTATTAGGGAAGGAAATTGGTTGTAGGAAGACTACTTTGGATATGTTTTTTTTTTGCTCCTTTGAGATCTTTTTCCAAATGATGTTTGTTTTTTGTCTTTAATTTTTTCCCTTCTTCATTTGGTCCATGTGAAGATCTTGTTTAGAAAGTAGTAGTATAGTTTTTATTTAAGTTAACCTGAAGCCTAGAGAGGTTAAGTGTTCAGCCCTGTGATTGGTGGCAGAGTAGGCATCGGAGCCAAAGTGACCTTCTTTTGGTGTTTCCTCTGCCCCAGTGATGATTCTGTCCCTTCAAGCCCCTACTCGCTAGTTTACTATATATATTCCGTAATACATATATAATATAAATATAATATATATGACCGAGTGGACAAACATTGCAACCATTTAAATGGAAAGAGTGCCATATATATGTACACACATATATATGTACACACATATATATGTACACACACATATATATGTACACATACATATATATAGATTTTTTTTTTTTTTTTTTGAGACGAAGTTTCACCTGTTGCCCAGGCTGGAGTGCCATGGCATGATCTCCGATCACTGCAACTTCTGCCTCCCGGGTTCAAGCGATTCTTCTGCTTCAGCCTCCCAAGTAGCTGGGATTACAGGTGTGCGCCACCACGATTGGCTAATTTTTGTATTTTTAGTAGAGATGGGGTTGCACCATGTTGTCCAGGCTGATCTTGAACTCCTGACCTCAGGTGATCCACCTGCCCTGGCCCCCTAAAGTGCTGGCATTACAGGCGTGAGCCGCCGCGCCTGGTGTAGTTTATATTTTTTAGGGACCATTGCCAAGATATGAGTATTACCTAGTATGAGAAACAATCATCAGCAAATAATTTAAAGCACAACATAATAAGCACTTTATGGACTGTCGCTGGTGAGCAGCAACTCTCTGGGGCTGGTGGCGCCAGGGCAAGAATTCACCAGGACAGCTGTAGGTAAAGAAAAGCAGATTTATTAGAGAAAGTATGAAAATATGTTGCGAGAGTGCAACGGGCAAGTTAGTAAGAGAGGAGCTAACTGCAAGGAAACAAAGGCTGGCCGGGGATTTTAGGAACAGTACTTCTGCTGTGTGCTGAAGAGGGGTTTGTGCAGTACTGATAACACTAAGGTTGCAGTGAGCTAACTTGAGTTTTCTATCAGCCAGAGGTTCGGTGATAGCTGGACACGGAAAGATTATTGAGTTATTTGTGCAGAAAGGCTGTGTCCTGGACCATGAAGAAAGGCAGACTTGTAGCTTATCGGCCTGCTCTTTTTGCTTTCCCTTGGTCCCCTCAACCTGACTTCTTTTCACTAATTAGGACTCCACATGGAGGAAAACACTGTTGAGGAGTGTGAAAAGGGAAGTTAATTCTGACTCTAAAAATGGATTTATAAACTCATGGAAGAGCTGGCGTTTAAGGGATTACGCTTTGAAAGATGTGTAAAACCAATAAATGATGACGGATTGGGAAGTTTATGGCAGTAAGTAAACCGGTATGAGGAATGATGCAATGCAAGGTAAACCCCAAATGAACAGTTTGAGGCCCAACTGTGAAGACTTTGGAGTTCAGAGTGTGGTTTTAAATTTTATTTTAATTAAAGCATTTTAGCAGTGAGCAGCTAGTGAAAATTTCTGTTTGCTTGTATGGGGAAAGTGCTGGCCATACGTGGTAAGATTCAGCCATTTTTTGGGAAGACAGCTGATAGCAGTGAGCCAGCAATAAGGCATTCTCTGCAGCATTACCAATCATAGTTAAAAACTGAAAGCAGTTCAGAGATCCTTATCCAGGAGAGTGATTCTCTAAATTATGGTACATCAGCACGTGTTATTTAAGGACAGGGATATGTTTCAAGAAATGCATCGTTAGGCAATTTCATCATTGTGTGAACATTATAGAATGTTCTGGGGGTTTTTTGTTTTGTTTTGTTTTGTTTTGTTGAGGTGGAGTTTCACTCTTGTTGCCTGGGCTGGAGTGCAATGGCGCGATCTTGGCTCACTGCAACCTCCGCCTCCCGGGTTCAAGCGATTCTCCTGCCTCAGCCTTCCGCGTAGCTGGGATTACAGGCATGCGCCACCACGCCCCGCTAGTTTTTGTATTTTTAGTAGAGACGGGGTTTCTCTGTGTTGGTCAGGCTGGTCTCGTACTCCTGGCCTCAGGTGATCCGCCCGCGTCAGCCTCTCAAAGTGGTGGGATTATAGGCGTGAGCCACCGCGCCCAGCCTTAGAGTATTCTTAAACCTAGATAGTATATCCTACTTCACAAACAGTAGGTATATGATATAGCCTGTAGCCTATTGCTCCTTCAGGCTACAAACCCATACTGCATGTGTTACTGTGCTGAATAATGTAGGCAGTTGTAACACAATGGTAAGTATTTGTGCATCTCAATATATTGAAACATGGAAAAGGTACAGTAAAAATACTTGACTGTAATCTTAGGGGACTGCCATTGGATATGCCATGCAGAATATCGTTGACCAGAACATCATTATGCAGTACACAGCTATTGCATAATGCAGCCATTAAAAGTAATTACTTTGAGGACTATGGAACCTTAAAATGAATGTGAAAATAGTATATGTCTCATAATTGCAACTGCATAAGAATTGTGTACTTTAGGGCTATGTAAAGGAAAGAAAATGGACGTTTGAGCCAATAGGACTTTATTCAAACACTGGCTCTGCCATTGCAAACCTGGCGACCTTGGTTTTATTATCTGTAAAATGAGGATGAGATTACTTACCTTATCTTACAAGATGTAATGTTTAGATGAGAAGGTAACTGGGAATTTTTTTAGAGCATGGTTGGGTTGTGGATAATTTATTTTTACAAATAGTTGTCTTTAGAGTTAGTTCTGTCCCCTCCTGCCCAGCAATTGTGAGTCATTTGATTTCTCTTTTTTCCCCCAAATATACCATACATTCAGTACACACACCTTGGTGTTACCACAAAGTTAACACACTCAGGTAACCACCCAGTCAAGGAACAGAACATTACTGGCACCCCTCAGAGGGTTCCGTATTGTTTTCTTTCAGTACATTTAATTTATTGGTGATCCTAGAGATTGTGGTTTCATTTGATTGAAGGCAGAAGTGAGAAGTCAAGGAGCTATGAATAGTGAACGGAAAGTGGAAAGAACTTTTACCACCTTTACTTTGAAGTTACTTCCTGACTTTGAATCTGTATCCTGTAGAGTATTAATCTCCTTGGAGACTTCACCAAGTGCTGTTGATGTAGGTGTATGAAAATGCCTTGCAAAGTGTAAATCATTACAGAGAACAAGATATAATTCGGCTGGATGCGGTGGCCCACACCTGTAATCCCAGCACTTTGGGAGGCCGAGGTGGGTGGATCACGAGGTCGGGAGTTCGAGACCAGCTGGCCAACATAGTGAAACCCCGTCTCTACTAAAATTACAAAAAATTGCTGGGTGTGTTGGCACGTGCCTGTAGTCCCAGCTACTCGGGAGGCTGAGGTGGGAGAATTGCTTGAACCAGGAGGCAGAGGTTGCAGTGAGCTGAGACCATGCCATTGCACTCCAGCCTGGGTGACAGAGTGAGATTCCGTCCCCCCCCCCCCAAAAAAAGATGCTATTTCATTGCAGAAAAAAGCAGCAGTCTTACCAAAAAAAAAAAACAGTTCTTTTTTCATTTGCTTAAGTCATTGAGATTGTATAGTTATTATTTGTGTTTGGTCACTCTTCCTGTTAGGTAATACTTTCCATTTTCTTTTACATTTCTCATAATGCATTATGCTTATTTGTGTATCAAGAAAATTTAAATTAATTGTCAATTTCTTATACACAAGCAAACTTATGTTGCTATTGTAATAGGGGAAACATGAAGTCAGGTTTATTTAAATATGATCACTTTGCTATATAATAGGGTGCATGTAAGCTTGATTGAAATTAATACTGTATAATTAGAGTTCCCATTTTCTCTCATTGTACATAGGTTAAAATTATTGTAGTAATATTATACTGATTTTTGCAATGTTAATAGCAGTTTCATCATCAAGCATCTGTTACCACATTGTAAATTATTTAACTGCTATTTTCCAGACTTTCATTTGTATGTAATTTAGTATCTTAGAGTAAAATCTGGGATTATTTCAAAAAACAGTTGAGGGATTTTGTGGTTACTTAGAAGTTGTAATCATGATGTGGTCTTTGTTTTTTACATTCTGTGAACTTTTTTTTTTTCTTTTTAAGATTCCAGTTCTTCAGACAAACAATGGTCCAAGTCTAACAGGATTGACTACTATAGCAGCTCATCTCGTCAAGCAAGCCAACAAAGAATATTTGCTGGGGAGTACTGCAGAAGAAAAAGCAATCGTTCAGCAATGGTTAGAGTACAGGGTCACTCAGATAGATGGACACTCCAGTAAAAATGATATCCACACACTGCTGAAGGTATCATGACTTCTCTTACAGGCTGAAATGCATGAACTGTTAATCGGAAATCTCTTTCCCCTCAGATTAAAAAGCTGCAGCTGTTGGCTTTCTTCACCTCTTTCCTTCTGCCTCAGTAGTTTGCATCTGTTATTCCCTCTGCCTGGAACAGACTCTGTCCTCCCTCCGCCCCGCCCTCCCCCTCAGATCTCAGCTGAGGTATGCTGCCTTGGAAACTTTCTTGACTACTTCTCTCTCAGCTGGTTGAGGTTCTTTTTTCTATATGCAGTCACAGCACCCTGTGCTTTTCCTTCAGAACCTTTGTCATAGTAATTATACTATTATAATATGACTTTTCTTGTTTTTTTAATGTGATGCTCCACTCGACAATCCCGATTCTCTAAGAGGTAAAGTACTTTCTTAGAGGCAAGAGAGAATCAGAATCTTTTAGGGTTGTAGTTTGAAAAAACTCTCTTCTGAGGAAGCTCACCTTTCCCTGTTTTGAGAATCATTGCTTTAAATTTTTATTTTCAAAGGCATCAAATAATAAAATAATCTACTGGATATAGCTTCAGAGTTACCAAGAATAAAAAAAATTCCAAAGTTATTTTTGTTAATTTATTTATATAAAAAGAAAGCAGATTTTAAAAGATTTTGTTGAAGCTTTAAATTTGAGAGAAACTTGAGAGATTATCCAGACAACAGCATATCGCTGTAGAAATTCCTTCTGTTTCTTAATTTTATTGTGATTGTTTTATCATGGCAATAAAAGTTGTGCAAGAAAGGTCTTCCTTTATCACGTTGGGCAAAATGGCTCAAACTGTATTCTTGATAGATGCCATCAAGAGAACTGGTAGAAATTCAGTTTCAGAACTTGGCCCTCTGTATGTCTGTCGTGATCAACCATTTATTCTTAATACCATAGTGGTCATTCACAGGGACCCTTCTCTTGTGCCCCTACTATTGACAGTATTTCCAGGGGGAAGCAGTCATATCCTCCCTCCAAGTGAATTTGAGATTTCAGGCAAATAAAAAGTGAACACAACCTTCTTTTATAGTTTCCCAAAGGAAAGGATAGTAATGAACTTGATTCTGAAAGATAGGAACAGAATTTCAATGAATTGGGTTTTTAAGGTTCAAAAGTTACATTAATAGATGTGGTATTTAGTAGCATAGAAGTAACTTCCAAAGTGTTGTCTCTGAGACATGTAAATATTTAATTGGGAGCCTCTAATGTATGTGGAGCTGGGCAATTTGCATTGTTTTTGAAATGTATGTGGAGCTGGGCAGTTTGCATTGTTTTTGAAATGTGTGTGGAGCTGGGCAATTTGCATTGTCTTCCTTGTTTGACCGCAGTCTGCTCATCTGCACCTACAACATAAGCACTTGCAATGCACCAGGATGCAGTTCTAAGGACTGGTGGTGCATTAGACACAGTTTCTGCCCTTACAGAACTCAGACTGGCAGGTGAGACTGATTATGTATAGAGTGGATTGCAATGTGATTTTGGCCACATGCACAGATGAGGAAAGGGTTGTTTTGTTTTGTTTTGCTATTTTAAAACAGTGTTGTTTTTATTTTAAAAGCAGTAAATGTTACAGAATTTAAGAAGTAAAAATAAGCAAATGGAAGACATTTGAAACATCCATAGTCCCACCAGCAAGACAGAACTATTAATAATGCTTATGTTCGGCCATCAGATATTTATTAAACCCCTTTTGTGTTTTTTCCTATGCTTTTTTTTCCTTGTGTATGTACTTGTGTATGTATTTAAAAAAAAAAAAAAACGGACACCTACTGGGCGTGGTAACCTGTTGGGTTTTTTTTGTTTTGTTTTGTTTTGTTTTGTTTTTGAGACAGGGTCTCACTCTGTCACCCAGGCTGGAGTGCAGTGGTGCAATCTTGGCCCACTGCAGCCTCCTCCTCCTGGGTTCAAGCGATTCATGTGCCTCAGCCTCCCAAGTAAATGGGATTACAGGTACGCTGGGATTACAGGTGCGCACCACCATGCATGCCTTATTTTTTGTGTGTGTTTAGTAGAGATAGGGTTTCTCTGTGTTGGCCAGGCTGGTCTTAACTCCTGAACTCAAATGATCCTCCCACCTCAGCCTCCCAAAGTGCTGGAATTACTGGTGTGAGCCACCTCGCCTGGCCAGTAAACTGTTTTTTTGTTCACTGACAATGTCTTGTCAACACCTTTTTACGTCAACAAGTATTCACTTACATTCTCCTTTTAATAACATGTTAGTGTTGCATCATATACAATGCAGGGCACTGACTCCCTGAGCAGTTGAAAATCCATGTATAATTTTGATTCCCCAAAAACTCAATTGCTAATGTCCTACCATTAACTGCAAGCCTTACCTGTAACATAAAGCAAATTAATACATAGTTTGTATTTTATGTGTGTTATATACTGTATTCTTAAAGTAAGCTAGAGAAAAGAATATTATTAAGAAAATCATAAGGAGGAGAGAATACGTTTACTATTCATTAAGTGGAAGTGGATTGTCATATAGGTCTTTATCCTCATAGTCTTCACTTCACATCGAGTAGGCTGAGGAGGAGGAGGAAGAGCAAGGGTTTGTCTTGTTCTCTTGGGTGGCAGAGGCAGAAGAAAATTTGTGTTTAAGTGGACCTGTGCAATTCCAACCTGCGTTGTTCAAGGGTTAACTGTAATTATACCACAATTTAAATTATGTATCCCTTGGTAGTTACTAGATTGTAGCTAAATATTTGAGCACATTCCCATTGTTTCCTTAGCCTTTTTGTGTTTTTTTTTTTTTGAAACAGAGTCTTACTCTGTCACACAGGCTGCAACCTCTGCCTCCAGGTTCAAGTGATTCTTCTGCCTCAGCCTCCCAAGTAGCTGGGATTACAGGTGTATGCTACCACACCCTGCTAATTTTTTTGTATTTTTAGTAGAGATGGGATTTCACCATGTTGACCAGGCTGGTCTTGAATTCCTAACCTCAAGAGGTTTGCCCGTCTTGGCCTCCTGAAGTGGTGGGATTACAGGAGTGAGCCACCGCACCCGGCCTCCTTAGGCTAAATTCCTACAAGATAAACTGCTAGGCTAAAAGCTATATATGTTTAAGCTATGTTGCTCATTTGTCCTCTAGAAAAGTACATCATTATAGTATCGTAGCGTAATAGAGTGGCCTCTTCCCCAAAACTAACATGGTATTACCTCTTTCTCCTTCACTACCCCAATTTAATTACCAAAACAAGAAAATTTAAAAATTATTTGTTTGAGGCCGTGCGCGGTGGCTCACGTCTGAAATCCCAGCACTTTGGGAGGCCGAGGCGGGCAGATCACTTGAGGTTAGGAGTTCGAGACCAGCCTGGCCAACATGGTGGAACCCTATCTCTACTAAAAACAGAAAAATTAGCTGGGCGTGATGGTGCACACCTGTAGTCCCAGCTACTCAGGAGGCTGAGGCAGGAGAATCACTTGAACCTGGGAGGTGGAGGTTGCAGTGAGCCAAGGTCACCCCACTGTACTCCAGCCTAGGCAACAGAACAAGGCTCTGTCTCAAACAAACAAACAAAAAAATTATTTGCTTATTTTTTTTGAATGCAATTAATAATGTGTCATTTTCATACTGCTTATTAGCTATTTTATTATTTTTAAAAATTTACATGTATTCTTTGCCTGTGTTTATACTAGGCTGTATAGGTTTTTATTATTTATTTTTAAAACTCTTGCTTTTAGGATATTATGAAAGGGTTTAATTCTTATTTGTCAAAGTTCCATTTCAGTGCTAAAACCACAATGCTAAGTTTAAATGCCTCATAAATAAGGTAGTATATAATTTCAAAAAGCAGGCAGTGCAAAACACTAACGTGTTGAGTCTAGATGGAGGGTATATAGTTGTTTATTTTACTGCTTTTTCAACTTTTTTGTATTATTAGAAAGTTTGATAAATGGAAGGAAAAATAAAAATCAGGTGGAATTGTAGGGGAAGTATTTAAAAAGTTTGACAATAGCATCAGAAAGAATTGTAAAAAAAAAAAAAAGGACCCAAACGTCAGACATAATTAGTTCTCACCTGTGAATATTTTGAATGTGTGAAACTCTGTCTTTTGGTAGGAAAAATTTTAGTTATATCATGAACCCAGAAAATGTTACCTAGTCATCGTTTATAAAAACTACATTTTTAAGAGTCTTGGCCGGGCACGGTGGCTCACGCCTGTAATCCCAGCACTTTGGGAGGCTGAGGCATGCTGATCACGAGGTCAGTTCAAGACCAGCCTGGCCAACATAGTGAAACCCCCGTCTCTACTAAAAATACAAAAAATTAGCCGGGCATGTTGTGTGCCTGTGGTCCCAGCTACTTAGGAGGCTGAGGCAGGAGAATTGCTTGAACCCTGGAGGCGGAGGTTGTGGTGAGCCAAGATCGTGCCACTGCACTCTAGTCTGGGCAACAGAGTGAGACTCTGTCTCAAAAAAAAAAAAGGTCTTTATCTCTAAAACATGGATATAGATTCTGTTTTTGGAGAAAATATACAAAACTGTTATTGTTTCAGGTCTTTCTTCTTGAAATTAAATGAAGATGTATTTATTTTATTTGAAATTTAATTAAGATATTTAATTTCTTATACTTTCTCAAAGTTGATTTCTCTGAAGATATTTGGAGAGAAATCATATCCATTCAACAGATTACCGTAAAATTTAAGTGGTAGTCCCTAATATACCAATACATTCTACCCTTTCCACCGAAATTTTATTTTGATTCTTCCATGCCTGTCTCATTTGTGTCTGTATTCCTTTATGTTCTCATCTGTACCACCTTTAGGGTCCCATATTCATATACTGTTTTGAAAATGACTGTCTTTAAATGAAAATCAGAAGAGAAAATGTGTTTACTCTTTATTAAGTGGAAGTGGATTATCATAAAGGTCTTCATCCGCATTGTCTTCATGTTGAGCATGTATCATGTTCACTTTGTTTGCAAATTCAAAGAGATTAAATTAAATTCTGCAAACATTTTTTATTGATTGCTGAACCACTATATCCCAGACACTTTGGGATGTTGCTATGGTCTGAATGTTTGACTCCCCCTCCCCAAATTTATATGTTAAAATTCTAACCCCCAAAGTGATGGAGTTAGGAGGTGGGGTCTTTGGGGTGATTAAGTCCTGGAGGCAGAATGTTCATGAATGGAATTATTGCCCTAAAAAAAGGCCTGGGAGAGACCTCACCCCTTCCACCAAGTGAAAAGACGGCTGCCTGTGAACCAGGAAGCAAGCCCTTACCCAACACTGCGTCTGCCACCACCTTCATCTTCAACTTCCAGCCTCCGGAACTGTGAGGAATAAATCTCTCTTGTTCACAAGCCACCCAGTCTATATATTCTATTACAGTTGCCCAAGTGGACTAAGACAGATGTGATTTGAGAATCGGAACAAAATGCCCTCTCTATAGTTTAAGGAATTCTTCTAGAATAAATGCTGTTGATCACTGGACAGTGTTTTATATCTAGCCTTTAGAGGAGCCTCAAAGAATATCTAATAATAGTTCATATAACTTATTTACAAAATCTTCCTCTGAAGGTTTTATGAATCTGTTGTTTCACTTAATTGACTGTAATTCAATGTAAATTCCTGTTCTGCTAAATTTAAGTGTTAATTTTAAGAGAAGCCAGCAGTTTCCATCTCAGGAAATTGACGTATTCATGCTGGTCTGCCAGACAATACTTCTAACAAAAGTAAAAATAGATAAATTGGACTATGTCAAAATTAAACATTTCTGGACATAATCAAAGGAGACAACAGAGTGAAAAGGCAACCTACAGAGTAGGAGAAAGTATTTGTAAATCATATGTGGGATAAGGGGTTAATACTCAGAATATGTAAAGAACTCCTACAGCTCAGCAACAAAAAAAACCAATACCCTGATTTCAAAAGTGGCAAAGGACTATATTTAGCCAAAGAAGATATATCAATGGCCAGCAAGCATATGAAAAGATGCTGGAATCACTAATCGTTAGGGAAATGTAGATCACGTTTACAATGGGATATCATCTCACACCCATTAGGATGGCTACTACCAAAAAAAATCCTGCAGAGTAACATGTGTTGGTGAGAATATGAAGAAATGGTAACCCTTGTGCATTGTTGGTGGGAATGTAAAATGTATAACTGCTATGAAAAGCAGAATAGCACTTCCTCAAGACATTAATAGAATTACCATATGGTCCAGCAATTGTACTTGTAGGTATATACCCAAAATAATTAAAAGCATGGTTTTGAAGATATGTTTGTACACTCCTGTTCACAGCAGCATTACAATAGCCAACGTGGAAACAACCATGTCTGTTGACACAGGAATCGATAAAATGTGGTCTATACACACAGTGGAATATTATACAGCCCTAAAAAGGAAGGAAATTCTGACATGTGCTGCATGCTACATGGAGGAACTTTATATTCAGTGAAACAAGCCAGTTACAAAAGTACATATATTTTGTGATTGCTGTTATATGAGGTATCTAAAGTAGTCACATTCATAGAGACAAGGTAGAATGGTGGTTGTCAGGACCTAGAGGCTAGGGGAAATGGGTGAATTATTGTTTCATGGATGTAGAGTTTCTTAGAATTCTCTAAAGAGATTGAAATTGTTGGGGAATTTTTTATATTGTAATGGAAAAAATAAGTGTAACTAATGAGCATGAGTAACAAAATGTTTCTAAAAACAAAAAGCTAGACTTTAAAATGATCATAGATGGCATTTTGAATATCATTTTCTAATGTTTTCTTGTTTCTTTAAGACTAGTGATGTTTAGCCTGTTTTTTTAAAATCAGGTGACTGGCGTGTGATTTGTGATTTTGAACGAATATTAATGTCAAAGGGTAAATTTATTAAATGGCGATATTTTGTTTTCTAGTAGCCTAAATCTTGTAAGTTGTTATATGGTAATTAACTTTATTATTACTGTTTTTTACATTAATATTTATTTGTTTTTTTTTTTTTTCTAGGATCTTAATTCATATCTTGAAGATAAAGTCTACCTTACAGGGTATAACTTTACCTTAGCAGATATCCTATTGTACTATGGACTTCATCGCTTTATAGTGAGTATTTGAATAGTTACTAGCTTTTTTTCTGTAGTGTTCAGAATGATTTTTAAAACTTTATCTTGAATTTAAATCAGATTTGCATTTTCAGCTTATCAAATAAAAATGAAAGGGATTACCGTATACAAGGTGCCTATGTAAAAACTCCTTTCACATATCCAGTTAACACAGTTGCTTCCTTTTCTTTGACCTTGATTTTCTTCCTATGCTTCTGCTCTTCTTCAGCAGTGACTTCTCCAGCCATGCTTTAGGTTTTGTCGTCATCCCCTGGACCCCATATTCCTACCATTCCACCTCTAGATCTTAACTTCAGTACCCCCATCTTCTGTGTAACCACCTGTGATGGTTAATACTGAGTGTCAACTTGATTGGATTGAAGATGCAAAGTATTAATCCTGGGTGTGTCTGTGAGGGTGTTGCCAAAGGAGATTAACACTTGAGTCAGTGAGCTGGGGAAGGCAGACCCAACCTGAATCTGGATGGGCACCATCTAATCAGCTGCCAGCGGACATAAAGCAGGCAGAAAAACATGAGAAGGTTAGACTGCTTTAGCCTTCCAGCTTACACCTTTCTCCCATGCTGGACGCTTTCTGCCCTCACACATCAGACTCCCAAGTTCTTCAGTTTTGGAACTCAGACTGGCTCTCCTTGCTCCTCAGCCTGAAGATGGCCTATTGTAGGACCTTGTGATTGTGTGAGTTAATACTTAATAAACTCCTTTATTTATGTATTTATATATTCCATTAATTCTGTCCCTCTAGAGAACCCTGACTAATACACGGCTTATCTTAGCTCTTTTAATCTCTTAGTGTCTAATTTCTATCTGATGTAATTTGACTCCTGTTTTCCAAATCTGTATACTTTCTTCCCCACCCAACCTAGACCCCCTTTTGTGTAACTTCAGCTACATCCTCTTAATATCTTCAGCTCCTTTGCTTTACCCTACAGTCACCACCTTTTCCCTGTAAGTTCCCGGCTCTTGGCCAGTCCAAATAAATGTCTTCATTCTTACATCCAAGATCCAAGCTGAGCTCTACTGGAGAAATTACAACACTGTAGATTACTGCCACTAAAAATGTTTACTATCCAATTGCAGCCGGGCTCTCATACTGGATCAGCTCCTTTTTTTTTTTTTTTTTTTTTCAGCTCCTTTTTTTTTTTTTTTTTTTTTTCTCCCAGGGATACTTCCAAACCTTTACTTCTTTCCTTAAGCCCCTTCCTTCTTCCTCCTTTATCTTTAGTCCTTATCACCAAGCCTTCCTCCATCATTTGACTAGAAAAATGGAGGCTGTTCATCTGAATCCCTTCATTTTCCAGCCTGCCTGATTGTGCATCCTTGTCTATCTTGTCTCCTTTTCCTGGTCTCAGCCTTGCCTTTTTCCTAGACCAATCCATTTGTATTAGTCCATTTTCATGCTGCTGATAAAGACATACCTGAGACTGGGTAATATAAACAGAAAAAAGGGTTTAGTGGACTTACAGTTCCACATGGCTGGGGAAGCCTCACAATCATGACAGAAGACAAGGAAGAGCAAGTCATGTCTTAAATGGATGGCAGCAGGCAGAGAGGGCTGGTGCAGGGGAACTCCCACTTATAAAACCATCCGATCTCATGAGATTTACTATCACAAGAACAGCACAGGGAAGACCTGCCCCATGACACAGTTACCTCCCACCAGGTTCCTCCTGTGACATGTGGAAGTTACATTTCAAAATGAGATTTGGGTGGGTACACAGCCAAACCATATCACCATTCATCTGACTCTTACCTCAATCTCCTCTCCACCTCCTGCCCCCTTTCTGGATCTTTGCTCCAGATTGTATTTCCTTTCTTTTTATTTCAGTCTTGCCCACTACCTACATGGTCAGTCTCTTTATTTTAAATTTGTTTGTGAACAATGACATAATATTCAGTATGTTCTTGGCACTGTTCTTCATGCTGTATAAATGTTGACTCATTTAGTCCTAATAACAGCCATATAGGGTAGGCACTAATATTATCAGCCCCATTTTACAGATGAGATAACTGAGGCATAGAGAGGTCAAATGTTTTGAGATTGCCTAAGTAAGTGGTGGAACAAGGTCCAGAAACCAGACACTTTGGCCCCAGAGTGTGTGCTTTCTTACACCCATCTCTCTGCCTGAAAGCTTGGCTCAACTCCCCATCACCCCAACACCCATCTTCCCCCGTGGAAAAAAACAAACTCATGCATTTTTGTGCGTTGTGCGCCTCATGCATCCAGTCAGTCAGATCCTGATGTCCAGCTCCTGAATGCCTCTCACATGTGTCTTTTCCTCTGATCCCGATGACATTGCCCAAGTTCCAGTATTTAGAATCTTTTGTTCATCTAAAGAGGATGGACTGTAAGACATGAGATTGGTGACCCCTGGAGCAGTCTTTCTCATGACCGTGTCTTTTTCTTTCTCAAAATAATTAACTCGGCTGGGCACAGTAGCTCACCCCAGCTACTTTGGGAGGCCAAGGCAGGTGGATCACCTGAGGTCAGGAGTTTGAAACCAGCCTGGCCAACATGGCGAAACCCCATCTCTACTGAAAATACAAAAATTAGCCGGGCGTGGTGGCTCACGTCTGTCATCCCAGCACTTTGGGAGGCCAAGGCAAGTGGATCACCTGAGGTCAGGAGTTCGAGACCACCCTGGTCAACATGGTGAAACCCCGTCTCTACTAAAACTACAAAAATCAGCCAGGCATGGTGGCATGTTCCTGAAATCCCAGCTACTCCAGAGGCTGAGGCAGGAGAATCACTTGAATCCAGGAGGCAGAGGTTGCAGTGAGCAGAGATCGCACCACTGCACTCCAGCTTGGGCGACAAGAGTGAAATTCTGTCTCAATTCGTCTGACTCCTACCTCCCTTGCTATCCTCCTTCCTGTCATTCTCTCAGCCACAACATGTGCCCCAGAGCCTGCTGGATGCTGGGCTCTTTCTACCCAGTGTCCTTGCATTGCTCTTCTCTTTTGCTCCCTGGTCCCAGCCCTTCCTTTCCTCCCCACTTCATTTGCATTTTCCAAGTATCTCTCTGTTCCCGCTCATTCCTCGGCTGAATCCCTCTCAGGCCCCTAAACCGTATTGAGGTGCTCCTTCCTGTGTGTGTGTTTGTACCTCATATACACCTTAGGTCTAGCTTGTTTCACTCTTACTGTAATTCTTTGAAAATCTCTCTCTCTAAATTATAAGCTGCTTGACTCAATGATTGTAGCGGCACATATTTGTAACACCATTGTCTGAGGTAATTCCTGGCATGTGTATGTAGTCGCCCCTGCATAAACACTGAATAAAATTTTAAACGTATTTCTCTATGCTTTTCAAGGAGTTTCCTATATACTTTCTCATTGTGCCTCATCACTAAGAAGGAAGTAGGACCAGTGTTATTAGCCTCCTTTTACAGAGAAGGAAACTAATGCTTAGGAAACTTGAGGTTTAAAGGCGCAGCACTCAGTTTTTGGAAGGGCCAAACTAGGTCTTCTGACTGAAGTGTCTTAATGTGTGGGGAAGCTCTTTGTGTTATAAACTATGAAATACCGTAATAATTGAGGCCTGCGCAGGCCCCAACCTGTCCATGGTTTGGGGCTGCTATCTGCCTCATAAAGCAAAGTGGAGGGTTTGTCTTTTGGAAAAACAAAGTCGTTTTCTCCTCTGAAAAAGCCTCCTACATAGTTGGCTTTGCCATTTGCCAAGAATAAGAGGGCACAGATTGAGGCCTCATGAGTCTGGGTTTTCAGTTGAGGTTGCAGAGAGAAGATGGATTGTAACCAGAAAATTCAGAATGGAATGTAGTTCCCTCCAGAACTCCTGGGCTTCATGACAGTCGTAGAAGTGGATTCCTTTTGGTTTCCCCTCACCCCACAAACATACTGTAATAATGCATAATACAGTTATTAGTCCCCTACTCAAGCTATAATCCCTAAGTTTGAATTTACTTGACTTTATTGTGAATTGTTCCTCAAAGATCCCTCAGTGATTATGTTAAATTCTACAACATTATTGTAATGGCTTAGAATGATCCTTCATTTAGTGTAAGACTATTATGAGTTTTAAATGATTTATTGAAAGCCCACTGTGTATGCCCACTATTTTATACTTGGGAGGGAGACAACAGAACTATAAAACTATTTTCAGGGGCATATTAATCTTATTGAAGAAATTAGACTGTTTTACATGAAAGCAATTAATGAAGTAGAGAAAATGGAATCCAGTGCTAATCTCTGGTCAGAATATTATGTTATTAATGAACAAGGCAGATGAGTAGAATATAGAATCATAAAATTGTCAGAAAAATATCTGAAGATTTGGATGGCCTTGGCTATCTAAGGGAATTTTCATTGTTTTGGAAAGCTTATGATAAGTTTGATTACACATGTTCTCTGTAAATAGGGTGACCACATGATTTCTCATCCAAAACACTTGACTGTGAAAGAAGGCCTGTTAATAATTACATTGGGACAACAGGAGTGAAGTAGAATGAATGTTCCCCATACTTACAAAGAATATGATTCAATTTACACAAAATAAGGGACGGGAGAAGCTATGTCTGATTTCTGTTCATCCCCTCTTGGCTTTTAGCACAGCGCCTTGCACAGCTAAATACGTATTGAGATTAGCAATATTAAGTCTGGGCATGATGGCTCATGCTTGTAATCCCAGTACTTTGGGAGGCTGAGGCAAGTAGATTGCTTGAGCCCAGGAGTTCATGACCAGCCTGGGCAACAGGGCAAAACCCATCTCTATTAAAAAAAAAAAAAAGAAAAAAATTAACCAGGCATGGTAGCTCTGCGCCTGTAGTCCCAGCTACTTGGGGGAATGAGGTAGGAGGATCATCTGAGCCCAGGGAGGTCGAGGCCACAGTGAGTCATGATTGCACCACTGCATTCCAGCCTGGGCAACAGAGAGACCCTGTCTTAAAAAAATAAATAAAACAGTATTTAACAACTGGTACCCATTTATAGTTCCTATTTCAGATTTTTTATCTTTGTAGTG